GCTCCTAACAGTCTCTAAAGTAGTGGTTTTGGTAGTGGTGGCTTGTTTGCATTTACTTGTCCAACAGCTTGATTGGTCCTTGGTAGAAGCGATGGGCAGTTATTTTTGAAGTGCCCGACACCTCTACATGCGAAGCATTGACGAGGGTCAGTGCCTGTTCAATTTTGAGTAACCCCATCTCCTCGAACTGTCTAAAGTCTCTGTCCAGCCATCGGGTTTGGGCGACAGTAAGGTGCCGCTCTCTATACTCCACTGCTGCTAACATTTTTCTGGATTGAACCTTCCCTCGCGAAGTTCTATCATCGCTGGTTGTCCGCCGTGTCTCTCTCCACCAGTGCAGCTTTATCAAGTAGATCCCCATAGTCTTAGATCTTGTGTGCCACAAATTTCTCCCAGATGATAGGCCTCAAGCCCTACTCGAAGCGTTTTGCCCTCCTGGTCTCGGTCGATATGAACTATATGGCATAGTGGGATAGTTCATCAAACTTCCTCTCATAATCTAGCACCGTCATGCTACCCTATCGTAGAACGAGGAAATCGACACTCATCTTGTCTCAGACTAATTCAGGAAAGTACTTGTCTTGAAAGATTTGATCAAACTCCTCCCAGGTAAGAGCATCTGTGTTCCTTCTTCTCTTCACCGAGTCCCACCAATGATCTACCTCTCCCTCTAGCAAATATGTCGCTAGGCCGACTCGTAAATCCTCGGCTACTCCCATTCCATCACACATTTTCTTTATCTGGCAGATCCATTTATCTGCATCCAAGGGGTTAGAGCTTCCTTGAAAAGTAGGTGGGTGTTGCTGTAAAAACTCTTGAAGAACTACCATCCTTCGATTTTCGTTCCCGTTACCTAGTACCTGAGCTAGTGGATGAACCCCACCGTTATGGTTGTTGTTCCTTTTCTGGTGTTGTACTAGAGTGGTTAGCTCCCGTAGGCATTGATATATGTCATTCATAGTATCGGGAGGTGGTGGTGGGTTTGTGATTCGTGCATAAAAGTAAACAATTTTTACTATGCCTTTTTGGATTAATTGTACTTTGATAGAGTTTAAGTAATGACATTTCAAGTCCTAAAGTGAACAAAGGCTCAAGAACAACAAAAATCACACTTGAATGTAACACCAACACAATAGGGAACAAATTTGCAAAAGGCTGGGACAAAGCAAGAACGTTCGAACGTCCTCTGAAATCCTGCCAAGACCAGCTGCTGAGATATGGCGTGTTGTAGTCAACAAAGGGAAAATGCAGAAGTACCTGAGTACCACGTTCGAATGCCAACTCACGTTCGAACGTCCTCTGAAATCCTGAGAAGACTACACCACTAGAACCTGGCATGTTACAATAAAGAAAGAAGAACCACAAAACAGAAGTACTTGAGTACAATGTTCAAATGTCACTCCACATTCGAACGTTGTCTTGAGTGACTGAGGACCAAGTTACTGAGTATAAGGTCAAAGTTGTTCAAGACGTATGGAAGTGACCATCACAGAGACCACATGCTACTTGAGTGGAAGGAATCAGACCCCATCTGGCGTTCGAACGCCCTCAAAGCAAAGACACAAATAACTTTCGAACGACATCTCACGTTCAAACATCCTTAAAGAGAAGATAGACTTAACGTTCGAACACCAGATCACGTTCGAACGTCCCCCTGCAAACTGCCTGCAGAGTAGTTGGTTCCCACGGATAGTAAATACTATTCACTCATCCTTTCTTATCTCTTACCCTCTCCCCTTCCTTGCCTATAAATACTCCTATGTTGGGAGCTGAAAGGGCATTCTTCCTCTTGTAGAGTAAAGGGAGAACAATCTTTTTTCTTGTAAGAGAGTGTTTAGTAATCTAATTCTTGAACATTTCATGTTTATGTTTTCATTTTGCATTTATATCAGCCGTGATGGAGGCTTAGACTCCCCTTATAGTTGAAGTCTTTTATTTACTTATGTTAAGTCTTTACATTCATGTTGTGACAACCATGATAGAGGCTTAGACTCCCCTTGTAATTGCACTTACTTTTATTTACAAAGTATCAAGAGAGATAGTTCATCTTTTGGTTGTGGTGGAAACCCTCCAAAAGTAACTAGATTTCTTCTACTTTTATTGTTCATATATTGCTTGAGCATCCTTCTTTCTTAGAAGAGTGAAACTCTTCCTCTTTTCTAGAGTTTTACCAAAGCCGTGAATGGTGGAAAATGATTCACTTATTCTTCATTGAAAATAAGCTCTTTGTTTAGTTTGCTTCACTTAGTAGTTTCTCTACTTGGAGGGATGAATATCACTCATTTTTCTAGCTTTGCCAAGGCCATGAAGAATGAGTAGTTCCTCATTCACTCTTTAGTAAGAGGTGATGAATATATAAAAATTATCCGGAAGTTATGTTTGTGCCACTCCTATATGTTTTAATGCTTTATATTCCACTTGCTCATTGGATGATTAAATGCATCTAGCAAAGTTGAGGTACTTTGTATAACCAAGGGCTCCCTCTATGATACGGATGGCTCTTGCATAGAAAGACCTGTTGGTTCAAGGCAAGCGCCCCGGCTAGCTCCTCATGACAACTTTTCAATCTCTATTATCATTGCGCTTATTCAAAGGATGGACCATTAATGTCATGGTTAGATGCCTTGTAGAAACACTTGCTTGTTTGTAGATGGGTTAAGTCTCAGCACAGACAATTCTTGTAAACTTCTAGAAAGGCATCAGAATCATGTGCTTAATTCTCACAGTCCATCTTTATATTTCGATTAACTTGCTGTTGACACGAGAGTTAATTGAGTTATAAAACACAAACATAACAAACCAAATATTCAATTACATGTCCTGATCCTCGAACTAAAGGGTCGTTGTTACATTTTGAGAATCTTATATTTTGTCTAGAAAACTCTTGAAAAGAATTTTCTATCGTATTCAAAAAACCCCATCACTCCAAACTCTCGAAATTTTCAGTTACTTGGTCTCTATTAGTACTTACTTCAAAACATCAATCATAGTTCTCTGTAGATTAGACTTCGTACTTAACCGGATTATTACTATAACTTGACCGCCTACACTTGGGTGTACACATTTCGGATCAAGTCACTAGCTTCCACTGGTCAGTTGGGACACATTGGTTGGTTTCGATCTCTCGGCAGGATTGGAAATGTCCCATGACTAGGTGTTTTCTGTCAAGGTATCAAAGTATTCCAATGCATTGTCTGGATACTTATTCAAAAATTTATCATTGCACATCATGTCAATGAATAGACGATGTGTAGGAGTAATTCATTCGTAGAAGAAACTGACTAGTTGCCAATGTTCAAATCCATGATATGAAATAGAGTTTAAGAGATCTTTAAATCTTTTCCAGAATTCATAAAATTGTTCATGTTACTTTTTTGAAAAAATTTGAATCAATCTATACTACTAATAAAAGTACTTTACATGAAAATTTTTTGATTCACTATTTTGCCCTTACAAAAAATTATAAAGACTAACATATCATTTTATATTTAAATAATATGCAGAGTATCATTATATCCCTCTATACTTAAATAAAAAACTAACCTCTAACATATCATGTAAATCTCTATTTTTACAAAATTTTTAGATAATCATGCTACTCTTAACAGGATATATATAAAAATATTTTTTTTTTTTTCAAAACTCTAATATTAATACACATTGACAACTTTATTGATACAATATTATCTCCGGTGTCAAAAAATTGATATATGTATCTTTTTCTCTACATCCACAATACAAACAATTAAAGTATGATAAGTACGAGATAATATCTAATTTAACTGTACAATTAAATTTTTATGTATATCATCAAATATTTTAACGAAAATTTTCACGTGCAATGCACGTGTTACATTGCTAGTTACCTCAAATATGTGATTTTGTATACTCGAAACAATTTCTTCAAAAACTCCTTTTGCATATCCCTCCCATGTCCCAATTAATCAAAATTTCAAAGAATTAAGCCAAGTCTTATAAAAAAATGCACCATATCATAAAAAAGCCTATATTTAATTTCAAATTTCTTGTGTGATTAATAATTCATCTTAATTATTTTATAATTAATTAAAACTTCTTAAAATCAAGGTTCAATTTTCATTGCCTCTTATAAAGTAAAATTAGAATTCTAAATTTAGTACTCAGTGCAAATTTATAATATAATTAAAAACTTGTTCAAATAGAGGTAATCAATGATCTCAACTTTATTTGTACAAAAACTAATTCCCATAACTTTTAAGTTATAATATAACAATCTTAGAACTGTGTTTAGATTTATCTTAGAACTTAAAAAATATATAAAGAACCAAAAAATCAGAATTTTTAATTTTTTTTTGTGTCGAATTGAAATTATTTTAAAAATTAGAAAAAGTTGAAAAAAAATCTAGTTTATTTCTTTTTGGGCACGTAGTTACGTTAAATCTCGGACGTGATCATAAAATAGTGCCACAGTGGAGGTTTGACTCGCAGAAATCGGCAAATTATACATGTATAGCTGCGCTGCTGCGATGGCTTTTACTACGACTACTTCTTTATACCTTCTTGTCCAGGGGCCCAGAAACTGGAAGTCCGGAAGACTTTGGAGAGAGAATATAGAACAGCTAACCAAACAGGAGCTTTTCTCTCTTTCCCTCTCTCTGAGTTAGCCTCAGATTCAATCAAGTCAGTAAATTCAGCTCTATTTCTCATTCTTTCTGCTTAATTCATCATTTCCTGCATTAGGGTTTTTTTTTTTTAATCATTTTATGTATTTATCTATCTATATACATGTCTTTCGGTGTGTAAATGTGTTGTTTTAGCGTGATTATTGACCAATGAAGTGTGGATTGAGAGTTCTGTGGCCAAATGAAGAGAGTTTGTGTATTGATATTTGTTGGTTTTTTTTATTTTTTTTATTTTTTTGCAGGTTTTTATAAATTATAGATTGGTTGATTTGCGGTGATTAATTGGTAATTCGGGATTATTTATAGAAAATGTTGAGAAATGAAATATAGATTTAGCAAATGGGGTGTGTTCTGAGTCGAGAGGTTACCTCAGGCATAGTTCATGAGTCTAAGGGAAGTAGGAGAGAAGCTGAACATCGTGACCAAAAGAAGAATTACAGTCTTGGCGCTGTTGAATCTGGTAATACTTTAGATGTCGCAGCAACAACAGAAATTGATAACGGAAATGCTGGGTTTGGTAATGGTGGGTCCCAGAAGGAGGAGAAGGTGGAAGGTGTTGGAAGGCCGAGGGTTGAGAGGAGAAGATTGGTGCTGAATCCGAGGATGAGTAATCCCCCTAAGCATAAACACGGGGAGCAAGTTGCTGCCGGATGGCCATCTTGGCTTTCCACTGTTGTTGGGGAAGCAATCGATGGTTGGCTTCCTCGACGTGCTGACAGTTTTGAGAAAATTGATAAGGTGAGTTGTTGATTTTTTGTTGGTATTTGTTTTTGGTCTTAATGTTAATGGTTTCGCTTCCATGTCATCTAATTGTATTTTTTTAACATTTTTTAGATTGGACAAGGAACATATAGTAACGTGTACAAAGCAAAGGATACTATTACAGGTAAAATTGTTGCACTAAAGAAGGTCCGGTTTGATAATTTGGAACCAGAAAGTGTGAAATTTATGGCCAGAGAGATTATCATTTTGCGACGACTGGATCATCCTAATGTTATTAAGTTGGAGGGTCTGGTTACTTCAAGAATGTCATGTAGTTTATACTTGGTGTTTGAGTACATGGAGCATGATTTGGCTGGACTTGCTGCTAGCCCAGGGATTAGGTTTACTGAAGCGCAGGTGAGACCAAGCAGTTCTTGTTATTTGTAACTGGAGTTACTTTAATTTTGTTTAATTGCCTTGGTTGTATAGCAAATTACCCAATATAATGTCTTTGTATTTGTATTTGTTCTTGTTGCAGGTTAAGTGTTACATCCATCAGCTCTTATCTGGACTTGAGCACTGTCACAGTCGTGGTGTGCTCCACCGTGACATTAAAGGGTCAAACCTTCTTCTTGACAACAATGGAATACTTAGAATAGCTGATTTTGGGTTGGCTACAATTTTTGATCCTAATCGCAAACACCCTATGACTAGTCGGGTGGTTACGCTCTGGTATCGGCCCCCCGAGCTTCTTCTTGGGGCTACTGATTATGGTGTAGGTATAGATCTGTGGAGCACAGGTTGCATTTTGGCTGAATTATTGGCTGGGAAGCCCATCATGCCTGGTCGAACTGAGGTACTTAACACAATTCTTAAATTTTGAATTCGAGGTTTTACCTTTATCTATGTTTGGTGTTACATAGTTAAAATTGATGCTTCTTCAATACTAAAGATGTATCATTTGTTTTTGGTGCTGTGGAATTATGTCAGCAATAACTGTTGACAAAATCTTATTCTCTTTTATGCAAGATAAAATTTAGTGAACATAACTGAAATTAAATTAAGGAAAAAATATTCAATGCAGTCAAGTTTTGGATATGTATTCGATGTGAAGTGATGGAATATGAGTAGGACGAACCTCTGACACTTGGCTTGGATTAATGAATTAACTTGTCACATTCCTTTTGAGAAGTGGTATCTATTATGTAGTACTTGTGAAGCAAAAGAGAAAGTACAAATAAATGAAAACAAACCTCAAGATTAATACACATCACAGTAAATGGACATTCTACCCAACTACTTCAAAATTGGGGTTCTATGGATGCTAGATACTTGGACCCATACTGAAATCTGGTACTGGCACAGCTATCTTACACTTGATCCCAAGAACTTATAACTTTCAGAAGACTCATGGGTATTAGTACCATATTACAATAATACTGCAATTTTCTGATAAGTATCCATGATATTTATAAATGTACTTTCCCAGCACTTATTAATAATGACAAGTCAGCAAACCTTGTCTCAACCATTTGGGGATTTTTCAAAACTTAATATTTTGCTGGTTGGTTCGTTTTTTTTTTCCTTACTTTTCTTTTATTGTTATGACTTAATTTATGGTTGCCCTCTTGTGCCAAGATGGAGACCAACATGCCAGAGACCAATTGACAATTGGACTCTTGTCATTTTTGTCCTGTACTATTTTAACTCAAATGCAGTAATACTTGAAAACATGAGTTCAAAAGCTTTGGTGTGTCTGATTGTTTAATACAAATTGCTAACAACATTTTCAAATTACTTATTTTTCTTGAACAATATAATGCGTAGAATGTAGCAAGATGTTTGGAGTGTGCAAGGGCTCATTAGGTTTTGTGTTATGGATGAAGATTAAAGGGAATACTCTTAGAAGAATGTAGAATCATTTGATGACAATGTCATCAAGTGCTGGACTGCTAAACATGCTCGTTGGAGAAAGTGTATCTGACTCTAAATTCTTATATAATAAGATGAAGGACAAGAAAGGATCAATTTTGGTATATATGCGTATTTGAATAGTTGGTGGACCCCGAACATAGCAACAAGATAAGCTGGTCGTATTGTGCGGTAAAGACTGATGAATACTGCGATAAGAAGTCATTTGTTCAACTTAAAGGCTTTATGAGAACATGAGGAATGCTGGAAGAATATCTTGAGGTTGTAAAGGAAAAAATGATGTCCATTGCCTATTGAATATATTACCTGGCAGAGCTCACAGTGGAGGAGCATGCAGTGAGATTCTGTAGACTGAGATTAGTTTGTTGAACTGAATGGAGTAGTTTGTTCATTGTCATGGTCAAAATAAATGTGTATCATATAGGAATATTATTTCGAGTATTTCAGATATCAGAGATATTTTCTTGATATGATGCGATGAAAGATTCAAGATAAAACATTACGTGGCTTACAAAGTGCTATTCTTATACTCCTTAGTGATTCTTGCTTTATTCAGTATTCTGTTAAGTTTGGTTTCGCCATATGGCCTTACATATTTGTGGTGCATGTGAGGTTCCAATTTGGTTGGATATTTATGTTTTTTGATACATAAACTCACATTTCTTTAAATACTTTGAATGGAAGTCAGTATTGACTGTCACATGGTTGGGATATCTCTCAAACTTCATATCAACACGATTTCTCTAAGCTTGAGTGTACCATTTTTGTATCACAATTACATGTTGCACCAATTCTTGAACCCATGATCTGTGGCTTTCCGATCAATAATGGAAGCCAGAAAGCTACAAGGAGAGCTGCTAAGCATGGAGTGAGCTTTGATTTTGCCATAGGATTAGTGAAAGATGGTTTACACCTTAAAGTTACTGGAAGGGGGCAACAATGATTAAGCAGCTTGGTCATTTCATTGTGCATTATTGATGGAGTTTCAAGTATTGCTCAATTTTTTATAGCTTTTCATCCTCTGGATTGGAGTGGCTTGCATTGAGGTTCCATGAAGATATGTTTGTTTGTGGTCCATTTATATCACTGCATAATCATTTTCTTTTTTTGCTGTTTCCAAAATGATTCTTTAGTTGTCTGATGTTCTGCACTAAAAGCTTATGTACTTAAATAAGCATTGCCATTACACAGTAATGGATTTTTCATATTTTCCTGATGGAATAGAATTTTATAGCTTGGAGAATTGAGTCTGTGTATTTGTATTATCGATTGTACATTAGCATTGACATAGAGATTAATGTAATTGCATTGGTAAATTGTTTTATCCAGGTAGCATGTAGTCAACTGCATTGGCTGTAATTATAGATACAAGCTTGTATGACGGACTCTTCTAGCATGGGTATTCTAGTGACATAGAAATTATATGCAGTTAATGGATTGTTGTTTTTGCACACGTCACTGGTTTGTTTTTTCGTTGTTTTGAAGTGGGGCATTTGTTCAAAGAAACCTCGTGCTTAAAATTTTATAATGAAATTTTTTGGTAGAATCCTACATTTTAGTTTATTTTAAGCTGTCGCAAATATGGGCGGGCATTGACAATGATCTTTTTTTGTTACTAAGGTGGAACAACTGCATAAGATATACAAGCTATGTGGCTCCCCTTCTGAAGAATATTGGAAAAAGTCAAAGTTGCCTAATGCAACATTATTTAAGCCCCGAGAACCTTACAAGCGATGCATAAAAGAGACATTTAAGGACTTCCCACAATCGTCTCTGCCACTGATTGATACTCTTCTTGCAATTGACCCAGCAGACCGCAATACTGCGACCGATGCATTAAGTAGTGGAGTAAGCGTTTTCATTTTTGTGATCCTTCTGTTAATTTTAACAGTTTTTATTCCTCATCAGGTTTATATTAGTGTTTTTCTTTGATGCTAATGTTGTTATAGCTTGTTTCTATTTAATGGTTCAGTAGTGACTGAAAGTTTTGGGAATTTTTGGACTTATTCAACATGTATGACTGGAATAGTGATGTATTCAAAATGATATATGATGCCATGCTCAGAATATGGACGATCCAAACTTCCAAAGCACTGTGCTGTGACAGCATAGAAGAGATTTTGAAGATGAAGAACCTTGACGCTGTGTTGCAAAGATGTGATTTTGGACAAATTAGTTTGCATTAGGAATATTAAGTTTCAGTATCTACAAAGTTTCAGTATCTACAAAGATATGCATCATTACTGCATTTTGTGTGGATGGTACAGGAATTGGAGTTTTCATTGAAGAAGATGATAAAGCTCCATATCGATCATAATTTAAATTGAGGGCAGAAATTCATCATTTAACTAGATTCTGATAATATGAAAAAATGGGAANGATAAAAAGAAAATTCCATAATGAGAAAATCCGACAAGTAAACTACACGAACCTTAAAGACGGGTCAGAAATTCTGGTTGCAGTACATTCATTTGCAGCACCTAATGGTGAGTTTTTGGTTGTGTTTGGTTCATCTGTATTTGCATAAACACTCGATGTTTCCGGGCAAGGGGTACTATCTGCTCTGAATTGCTCAGCAACTTGATGAATTTCCTCTACAGAACCAGCAAATGGGGGCGCACTGGGAAAATCGTTATCAGATAAGTTATTCTGCATTCCTTCGCCACAGAAGTTCTGGAACACCATATCCAGGTAAGAGCAGCCACAAAGAATGAGAACTATAAACCATAAAATAAAATGACTTGAACAAGAAATGATATTTGCAGTGTGTGTGTGTGTGTGTTTTTTTTTTTTGTTGGGGGGGGGGGGGGGTTTTAATTGGGCATTGTTTCATTTGTGCAAGATGTAAATCATTGAATAATTAAGCTTGCTGCTCATGTGGAGCTCAAATGTTAATTTTTGCAACTAATGGTATCATCGAGATACGAGAATAGACGCACAATTAAAGCTTTTTCTTTATTGAATAAACTTGAGCTTTTCTGGTAGCCATTCTGCAAACTTTGATGTGATATTTGTGAATGTGCTTAAAGTTGTCTGTTGCTTTCCAAAGATACCTGACCGGTACTTGGAGATTTACATTACTACCGATGCAATGTGAATCTTACCCTATTTCATATTTTTGCTTGCTTTTAATTGTTCAAATTTGTTTATTAAGCAGCGACGACGTCTAATTACCCATGCCAATGCTAAAAGCAAGAGCGAGAAGTTTCCTCCACCACACCAGGACGGAGGACTTGGTGTTCCCTTGGGTGCTTCACATCACANATGAGTAAATTTGTTTATTAAGCAGCGACGACGTCTAATTACCCATGCCAATGCTAAAAGCAAGAGCGAGAAGTTTCCTCCACCACACCAGGACGGAGGACTTGGTGTTCCCTTGGGTGCTTCACATCACATTGATCCTGCATTTGTTCCTCCTGATGTGCCATTTAGCTCCACCTCTTTCACGTATTCAAAAGAAACTGTTCAAAATTGGTCAGGTCCTTTGGTAGATCCCATTGTAGTTGGCAATGGGAGGCGTAAGAAGCATGCTGCAAGTGATGCACGAGAACCAACAAAACCCTCTATAGGCAAGAAAGACAGAAGTGGCAACATTCGAGTCAAATGAAAGGAGGCTTAGTTAATTGCCAAAAAAATGGTTGGGCTAAGTTTTCTAGCATACACTGAGAATCAGATGCATGGGGAGTCTGAAATTTTGTCCATCTTTTCTTACTTCATCAAGTATAAAGATTTATTTCCTTTTTGTCCTTCTCAATTTGTTGGGATGATGAGAAGCTTCCCTATTTGTGAATATTTTGATTATTTTATTGATTCCTTGTGTTTGAAAATCAACCAGTCAAATTTTGGATAAATATTTGAGGCCAACACCATTGAAACTATTTTTTGCAACCCTAACTTCTGGAGATGGAATGCTGGTGCGGCTTCTCTGTTTGAAGGCTACTTGTTCTGTACCCTATGGTTACTATATATCTTATGGTCCCATTCTTTGCTACATTTATTAGTGCTTCCAGAGTAGAGGAAATTAAGTGGAAAAGAACAAGAATGTTGCATGTTGCAGAAATTCTAATATCACTACCTCAACAAGAATGTTCCTTTTGTCCTTCATGCACCTTGCCATTTTGTGCCGGAGGTTATTCGGGTTTCTGCGCTTCCTCACTCCATCTTTGGAATTAAGATTTCACAAGGGAGTCTTTGATGTTCTCTAGTTTGGGAGTTTGGCCATTAATGTCTATTTAGATAGAAGAGGCTGTTCATTAGGAGAAATGGAATCTGGCAAGTCAGCTAGAGGCTCTGGCTCTTTTCATCTCGTGTGATTACTTATTTTTGTTAGAAATGTTTTTTATTCCTAATTTAGTAACCTTACTTGGTGACGTGATGGACCATTAAATTGATAGTTGGTCTCAACTAATAGTAGAGTCCACTTCAATCTAATGACATAAAATTATAAAATCACTACATATATTGTAACAAATTTAAAGAAAGAGGAAGAGAGAGAGAGAGAATCGGAGTGTGAGGAGGTATATAGGTATTATATATTTGTGGGTATAGGGGTATACAGCGAAATGACTCTATTATACTACGTTTGATACATGGTATTAGAGGTTAGGAATGGCATGGCATTCCATGTTAAAGTCCATTCTAATGTTTTATTTGCAGGATTTAAATTTCATTCCTATTCCAAAGAAATACCTAATCCCACAAATCATGAAATTAGACATTGCCAAATCCAGCAACATATTTTCCATTGCCAGCCCACATAGTAATAACCCAAATCCAAGAGCCCGCTCTCTCAACTTTCAGGTCTGTGGCTTTTAAAAACCGGATGGATGACATCCGTGCGTTGCTCTCTTTCGCATCTCGTCTCTCTCTCGCACACTAGATGCCCGCTGCAAGATTTGTGACAAGGAACAAACAGATAATTTGTAGGTAAATTTAGTCAAAAATACTCAAATCTGATCCATTTTCGTTTGCAAATTTATTATTCGATTTGATTGTTTATTTTATTTTTACTTGAGCCCTAATCTATCGTGGCAAGCCTTCTACATAGGAGCCCTACTTCTAAATTATCTTAACTGCTACAGCATTTAAATTATCGTAAATGCAAGGCTGGTAAGGCAAAAAATTGAAAAATTAAATCAGTTGAAATGATGCATACAAACTGTTTGTGTTAAAGCTTGAAGGAAACTGTATGAGGCGTAGTTGCTGTTTCATGAAAAAATAATGATCCGATGGACACCTATTTCTTGATGATGTTCAAACTTTTCAAACTTAGAGCTGGTCAATGTCTCAATGGTATTACTTTTTCACATGTATATATGGAAATTCTGCAAACTTATTACTTGTCGTGGAAGTAGAAGTGAAGTTTGGTCACTTTTTCCTTCTTGTGGCTGAGTTTTGAGAACCATTCTTCCCCTGCTTTTGGCCTTTCAGCATTGGCATGAGCCATTTGGGTGACTGGATGAGATTTTAATGGTTTGTCTTGCTTTCAATTGGGGATATGTTGAATATTACTAGTGGTTATTTGGATGAATTTTGTTATTGAGCTAAGAATATAGGAAAATAATTTGAAGCCCAATTGAATTTAAGTTTTCACTTGAGAGTTAAACGCTAGTATTATTGGCTTTGTTCCTTGAATACGATTGTGACGTGGGTGTGATTTTTCCGTGTTTTCATTGGTTAATGAAGTGACATTGGGTCGTGGTTGTTCCGAGGGGACTTCCTTGGCAGTCTATTCTTTGGGGAAGATGGAAGTGTAAGAATTGGTGGAGAGCTGAAGTAGTTTGACAGTTGGTGGGTGCAAGGATATTTGATGTGAATAGGTAGGAACTTTGGTGGAGCAAGGAGGAATGATGTCATGATCATAGACTGGTTTTTAGTGATCATTTTTAGCTGTCGTCTGTTGCCTGTGGAATATTACATACAATTGTTAGGTATGCAATTCTCTGTCTTGCTGTCATGAATTCTGTGATCCATTCTTAGAGAGTAGAACATGATTATTGCTTTCTTATAATTCTGTGAGTTTACATTGCAATTTAGGGGTAAATCTGCATCTATGATTTTTTTTTTTCCAGACAATATGCGTCTACTGTCTTTAGTTTCTTCATATTGAAATTTGAAACTATGCCATATGATTAAAAGGTCCTTATTTTCTTTTGGCTGTTCTTGAATTGTTGGTTGCTGTCATGTTATACTTCATGATGTCCTGTCACTATTTTATAACAAGCAGCATGTTAACTAAGGTCAGAAGGTTGGGGGCTTAAGGTCTCTTGAAGCAAGACAACGGTTGGATAACCACAAAAAGTTTCTAAAGCGTTAGGAAGCTATAATCAAGGCACCTAATTTCAACCAACTGAGATATTTTCCTAGAATTAAGGAAAACACCACGAAATAAGGACAAGAATCTCGGCCAAGATCCCACTGAATAGGGGATAGCCCTATAAATACTATGTAACACCCCAAAGAGGGGAGAGAGGCAAAAACTAGCCATAGCATTCTTGTAATCATCATTGTTGAAAGGCAGGGAGCAAGAGTCTCCATTAAAGAGTGGATTAGCCGAGCTCTCGAGCTAGTGAACCGCTATACTTCTTCTGTGTTAATTCTCCCAGCTCCTAGAAAAATATTTTTTTCATTATCACACCACCATCACTACAAAGCATAATTACGATTCATTACTCATACAATTCGGTTTACACTATCAGTTTGGCGCCGTTTGTGGGAACGACTGTTCCTGTTACGAATAAAGTTGATTTTTTAGTGACTGATGGTATCAACGCGAAACATGAGCCGAAGTTAGACCAATCCTCTACGGATGCAAGATCAACAGGAAGTCGCAAATAACAGACGATCCGAAAATGTTTAAGAAGCAGATCTCCCCATGGGGGGCCTTCCCATGAATAATGAGATGGAAGCCCTTCGTCTTGTCAATGAACACCTGATAAAACAGAACGAAGAGCTCTTAAAGCTCCTACAACGTCCACAGGAGGTGCGACCGGCCCAAGGAGGCTAGAATAACCCACCACCAAGAGAGCAACCGCATCTCGACCCCCTTAGAGAAGTTAATAAGGTGGGAGAAAACAGCCAGACCTTGGGGCAAGAACCTCGCCTACCCTCTAGGAATGGTCACAGCGAGGAAGTGCAAAGTCAGTATAAAGAAGGGAAGAGGAGCGACTTCTTCCCTTATTAACAGGAGAGAAAAGAACACCACTGGGAGCAACGTTTCAAAAACATCCTGTAAGAGCTCAGCCAAATGAAGGAGGCAGTGAAGAGTAAGGCTCCAGTCACTATGGATGCTTTGGTGCAGCAAATCGAATCCCCATTCATTGTTGGGATGCTGCATTTTCCTCTCCCACATAAATTCAAAATGTCGCAGGTGGATGCTTTCGATGGGACAAAAGATCCCGTGGACCATCTCAACACCTACAAAAACCAAATGAAGTTTCATGGATATCAAGATCCAGTGAAATGCAGGCCCTTTGTTATCATCCTAAAAGGCTCAGCTTAGCATGATTCAACAGACTCCCCTCAGCCTCGATTTCCTCTTTTAAAGAGCTATCAATCTCGTTTGTGTCCCACTTCATCGGAGCTTGAACTTATAGGAAATCGAGCTACCATTTGTTAAATGTGAAACAGGGACCTGATGAGAATCTACGGTCTTATGTCCAACGGTTCAACTCAGAATCCTTGAAGGTGGATGTCCCAGATGAAAAATTTGTTATTACAGCCTTCATAACAGGTCTGGGGGTTCAGTTAAAAGATCTGATGTTTTCCATCTCAAAGAACCCCCAGGCTAGTATGGCGGAGGTGCTCGCCAAAGCAGAAAAGTACATAAATGGTGAGGAAGCGCTCCTCTCCAAGGTCGGGAGCTCTTTGTCGAGAAAGGAGAAAGGGAAGAAAGAAAAGAAGAGAGAACGAAGTCCCAGAAAGGAAAAAGAACGAGGCAGGTCTCCAAGAAAAGATAGAGAGCGTTCCCCGAAGAGAAGGGGAAATGTCAGGGATCGCCCTGGCCCTCCACAACCAGAGCTACAACCAAGGTATGCACCCCGGCAGCTCACCCCCCTGACTGCTACGGTGTCTTAGATACTGTATGAGGTGCAAAATGAGAAGTTCTTAAGATGGTCATCCCGAATAAAAGCAGACCCGGCAAAAAGGGATCTTACGAAGTATTGTGACTTCCACAGAGACCATGGTCATCACACCGACGGTTGTATCCAATTGAAGAGGAAAATAGAATTTCTAATCCAGCGAAGGCAACTACGACGCTATATGACCAATGATAATCAAAATCGAGCTCTCCCACCCCTACCCCTACCCCCTCAGCGTCAAGCACCAGAGCCACACCAGCAACCTATGGGGGAGATTAGAGTGATATCTGGAGGATTTGCCGGAGGAGGAGGGTCTAGCTCTGCTAGAAAGACCTATTTGCGAAAAATCAGAGCCATAGAAGCTCCCAAAGTATATACTGTCTCTAAGTCTCCACGCTTAGACACGACTATCACTTTCTCAGATTCAAATCTGGAGGGCTGCCAATATCTTCATGATGACCCTTTGGTGGTAAGAGTTGTGGTGGCCAACAGGACTATCCATCGTGTTTTGATTGACAATGACAGCTCGGCAGACATCATTTTTGCTTCTACTTTCGAAAAAATGGATGTAGGAAGAAAAAAGCTTGAACCAGTAAGTGCCCACCTATTGGGATTCTCAGGAGAAAAGATGTTGCCCTTGGGGTCAATCCATCTTGACCTTAGGTGACCTACCCTGTCAGACTACAATAACTGTAAAATTTCTAGTGGTTGATGCACTTTCAGCATACAATATGCTCCTTGGAAGACCGTCGCTCAATTCTATAAGGGCTATTCCCTCTACCTATCACCTTGTAGTGAAGTTTTCAACATAAAACGGAGTTGAAGTGGTTCGAGGA